TTTTCATGTTTTTTTCGTGCCTTCGGCTAAGATTACGTATTGCTAGAAAAAGAGGAAGAGAACTCCCTGAACTCCCTAAGGAGAATAAACAGCATCAAGCAGACTTCTCAAACTGTTCTGAGCTCTTGCTGGAACCAGTTCATTTTTCGGATTTTGCCATTACAGTCACTCCAAGACTTCTGGGAACCACTTGAAACGGGTTAACCCACCAGCTATCTGAAATGGGATAAATGATGTCGGCCTGTATCGGCAATGTCAGAAGCTTTTCCTCCCGCTCAGGTAGAAGGGTCTTGGCCACTATCACAGGTAACTGCTTAAAATTAACCATGCTATCACCAAATTCTAAGGAAAGAGTACCAGCATGCACATCTATCTTAGTCCTAGCAGTTTTCATGAAAGGTCTACCAAGTATAATTGTACTACTAGGAATCTCACCATCCATCCCTAAGACATAGAAATCAGCAGGAAAAATCAGATTGTTCACCCTAACTAATATATCTTCAACTACACCAGAAGGATGAACACTACTCCTGTTGGCTAACTGAACAACAATACCAGTAGCACGCGAGGGACCAAGACCAAGAGACTTATACACAGATTCAGGCATAACATTAATGGATGATCCTAAGTCTAACATACAATCATGAAAAATAGAATTTCCAATAATGCAAGGGATAGTAAATGTCCCTGGATCTTGGCACTTCTTGGGCATGGGCTGGATGAGTGCTGACACATTCTGGCTGACGCTGACTCGTTCATCCCCTTTCAGCCTCCTCTTGTTGGTGCATAACTCCTTCAGAAACTTAGCATATCTTGGAATTTGCTGAATCGCATCCAAGAGTGGGATATTGACCTCTACTTTTCTGAAGGTGTCAAGAATCTCTTTATCTTGAGCTTTTGCTGCTTGCCTTTTAGACTGAGTGGCTCTTTGAGGAAAAGGTAACGGGATGTGGACATCAGAAGTATCAGTATTTTGCTTCCTTGAACCAGTGTCACCTCCTTGAGATGACTTAACAGCAGATTGGTTTGGTTCCTCCAGTTGCTTGCCAGACCGCAGAGAGATGGCACTAACATTGCCGGTTCCCTTTGGATTTGGAACTGTCTGTGATGGAAGGGAGCTACCACTTGCTTGTTGATTCTGACTTATTGATGTTGCAAGTTGGCCAATCTGTGTTTGCAGATTCTGAATGGAAGACTCAGTCCTCTGCTGGAACTGCAGATTGCTAGTGGCCATCTGTTTCATTAAATCCTCCAAAGAAGGGCCATTGCTACTAGCTTGCTGCTGCTCTGGTGGCTGCTGCTGCATTGGCTGCTGAGGGGCAAATTGTTGAAAATTTTGCCTCTGTTGTGGAGGCACAAACTGCTGCCTCTGCTGGAATGGTAAATTTTGTTGACTCTGATATGGAACATTTTGCTGATTCTGGTTCCATATGAGGTTGGGATGATTCTTCCAGCCAGGATTGTAAGTGTTGGAGAATGAATTATTTTGCTGCTGGTGCTGGTGCTGTGGATTTTCAGGAAAAACTGCAGCAACAGACTGGTCAACTTGGGAACCGTTGTCATGTAAGGAAGGACAAGCATCTGTGGGATGAGAAGGATCACAACAGATGCCACACGGGTTGTTTGTCTGTTGAGCAGAAGGTTGCACTGTCTGTGTCACTGCCAACTGCCTCACCATTGATGTCAACTCATCAAGCCTGTTCTCTATTCTCTGGTTATCTGTGCTTGATGCTCCTGCTGCTGCCACTATTGGATTTTGCTTTGGAGAAGTTTGCACTTGGAACACTGCATTGCTGCTTGCTCTAGTGCCAAATTGTTGAGCATTAGCAGCTATCTCAGCAATCAGCTCCTTGGCCTCATTAGGTGTTTTATTGCTCAGGACTCCTCCACTAGCTGCATCCAGAAGGTTCCTATCCATAGGCAGCAGCCCTTCATAGAAGTAAACAAGCAGGAGATTGTCTGGAATTTGATGGTGTGGGCAGCTTGAACAAAGCCTTTTAAATCGCTCCCAATACTCATGCATGTTCTCCCCATTAGCTTGCCTTATGCCACTGATCTCCTTTCTGATTGAAGTGGCCCTGGATGAAGGGAAGAATTTCTCCAGAAACAATCTGGCCATGTCATTCCAGCTTACAATGGAGGAAGGTGGCAGGTAGTACAACCAGTCCTTAGCTCCACTGTCCAAAGAGAAAGGGAAAGCACGCAGCTTGATTTGTTCCTCATCCACCCCTGTTGGCTTCATAGTGCTGCAGACTATATGAAATTCCTTCAGATGTTTGTGGGGATCCTCACCTGCAAGACCATGAAACTTGGGCAGCAAGTGTATTAGTCCAGACTTAAGCTCAAAAGGTACAACAGGATTAGTATAACGAATACACAAGGGCTGCTCATTATCAACATTAGGAGCAGCCAATTGCTTAAGTGTTCTATCACCCATGATTTCAGAATCAAATAAATGACCAAACGAATAAACACTATGTAAAGGACTCGAACAAACAGACTCGATAGACTCAACAGACTCTAAGGTATGCTCAGGAACAACTCTACTGTAAGTCAACCTACGAGCTCTACTAGCAGCATGCAATGATCTATCTATCTCAGGGTCATATGCATATAAATCATCAACACTGGCATTACTCCTAGTCATGCATCATAGGCAAAGCATACAGCAATAAAATCACGAAACGTACGATAAGACACACACAAAAAAAAAATTAATTATTTTTTTTTTCAGAAACGAAAATAGATGAAAAAGAAGATGATCAAGAATCAGAAAACGATTTAGACCGATGCAATTTCCCCGGCAACGGCGCCAAATTTGACACGAGCTGTCGAACTCGCGCAAATTAAAAATTATTTTTTTAATTAGGGTTCAGAAAATTTGCAGTAAAGTGGAAACCCTAAGTCGTCTCTCAAGGAAATTGTTTTGGTTAAAATCGCTTATGAGAACAGAAAATTAAAAGGGGGGTTTTAGATTTTGATTCAATAATTAAAGAGGCAGAATATAAATTTGGAATAAAAATTCGTAATTAAAAATAACCAACCTAAGGTTTGGGTTCCATGGACGTCTTTCCTCGGATAAGAAGATATCAGAATCGTGATTGATTTGTCAATCGGATCAGAATCCTTATTTCCAATTGACAACCCTCTCTAAGCGATCGCTTAGCATTTGATCAAAGACGATGCTTCTACTCATACAATCGCAGAGTATCAGCCCGCTTGATTTAAGGTCATAGGGTCAATCAACCTAATCATCAAATCTGATGATTAATCCCTTTCCATAATCGCAATCGCGAACCTCAGATTGAATATCCACGATCGCACGATATCAATCTGAGTTGGGAAGGGAAACAAAACTGATTTGAAATAAACGCAGATCCTCAAGACCAATCCATGGAATCCATTACCCTTAGGTTGATTAAAAGGTTCTTAGCCTCGCATGGCTAAGGTAAACATAATTGAAATGAAAAGAAGAAGAAGAAGAAAAAAGATGAAGAACGCAATTGAATAAAAACTCAGAGAGAACTTCTCTGTTGTAAAAACTGACTCCCAAGGGTTTCCTAGAGTCCCCTTTAAATAGCCGTCACGCAGGACGGCTAGGGTTTCATTGCTTCAGCCCAAACATAAAATAAAAAAACCGAATAAAATAAAATGAAACAATAAAACTTGGCTTTGGGCCACTTAAGTAATTGGGTTTTAATTTAAATTACAAGCCCAATAGTCAAACAAAACTTCAGCAAAACGCGTCCAACTTGGTGTCCGAAATCGACCAGCTTCTAGTCCGAATTGGGCTTAGAGCTCTGCATAAGAATTGTATCTCTCTGTGTTATCTGAAAAACCCAACAAGAACGGAGTCAATCCGACAACTATGGACCGAGATATGGCAAAAATACAGAAGTAACGTAAAGCTGAAAAATTCTGACGAAAATAAATTAAACCCAATTAAAAACTAAAAACCTAAATTAACTCTAACAATCATTATTTTATTCAAATAAATCCTAAAAATACTAATCAAGAGTAACAAATAAGTGTAACAAAATATGTGTTATCAGGAGGCTCCACTCATAATTTCTTACAAGCTCGCTTTGTGAAATTTTTGGGGCTGGCAATTACACCTACACAAAAATTCCAAGTGTTAGTGGGCAATGGAGAAGTAATGGTTGCTTGGGAGTGTGCACACAAGTGGGTATAGAGATGCAAGGACATCATTTCTGTCAGGATTTGTATGTTTTACCAATCCAAGGAGCTGAGATTGTGCTTGGAGTGCAATGGCTGTCCTAGTGAGGGGATATCACCATCGACTACAAGGAGCTAATTATACAGTTTGCAAAGGATGGTCAGAAGGTAGAAATAAAAGGGAAGCACACCCTAACCATGGAAGCCATACAATTGCATCAACTTCGCAAGTTACAATCTTCCAATTAAGTAGGCTGCTTGTACTAGTTGCATGCAATAGCATGATAAACCCTTGGTTTATAAAGTTTTAAAGCATGAATTAGCTTAATTTATGTGATTAAATGGATGGAAAAGAGGGTTAATGTCCTAGAAAGTCCTAAATACAAGTTCTAAAGCTTATGTTGAAAATTTACATTGTTCTTGTAGGAAAATGAAGCTCAAGAAGCAAAAAAGAGAAGGAAGAAAATCCTGAAGAATGGGAAAATTCTAAGTGTTGGGCGCTAAAACGGCCAAAGTCAAGAGTTTTAGCGCCCTGCTGCAAAATGAAGCCAAAAAGTGCTGGTGTTGAGCGCTAAAACGCCTAAAGCAAACGTTTTAGCTCCCTGCTGTTCACAAAGATGCTGGTGTTGAGCGCTAAAACGGTCAAGTCAAGCGTTTTAGCGCCCAGGACAGTTAAAAGTGGTTAGGCACCCGTCAAGTTGAGCGCTAAAACGTCCAACAATGAGAGTTTTAGCGCCCGTGTCAGTTTTTGGATGTTATTCAGTTAGAATTTGTAAACTATAAAAGGGGCAAAGGACCTTCATCCTATATATCCTATATATCTATTCTAATCTGACTTTTCCCATCACACTAGGAGAGGGGAGATCAGATCAGATCTTTCATAGATCTGATCTGACTCCTCATTCTCTCTGAACTTCTAAATTCTTTAGGATTAGTTTTTGTATTAGTTAGTACATTTCTATGTAATGGTAATTGAAGATTGAAGACTCAACCATCATGACAATGGAGTTTGATCTTTCTTCTTCTCTTGTTTATTCTTTAATTATGTCTGAGTAGAGTCCTTTGTAGTCTGATTCAATGGAACTCAAGTGTGAATTTATGAATGGTTAATTGAATATTTTGTTTATCTCTTATGTGATTGTATGAAGTTGTCTTGATTAATTCTTTCTATCAAGGGAATAATGTAGAAAAGGGATGTTTACATTGTTTCTGTAATTGACAACTTCATCATCAGTGTTCTAGTAGTCAAGGGATTGATGCTAGGATTCTGATGTGATCTTAAGATCTTAGTATTTAATGCATGTATTAAGAAGGGAATCACCAAGACATTGGAGTTTCTGATTAATGTCTCAATCAGGGTAATAAGGGATTACATCATAATGATAAGAAAAAGGTTGATCAACATCACATGGAAGATAATTCATCATAGAAATTGGTTCATCCATATATTCATGCTTGAGGGAAATTGATGTCTGACTACTTGTTTACATTATAACTCACATTTTATTTGCTTATTAAGTTTTAATACAATTCAATTCAATTTCTGGTGACAAGAAATCAATGCAATCAATAATCTTTTGTTTGATTCAACTTAAGTATATATGGTTAGTCGGTGCTTGAACACAAATCCTCGTGGAAATGATCTTTACTTATCATTTTATTACTTGTGTGACTAGTACACTTGCTAAATTCACAATAAGTTTTTGGCGCCGTTGCCGGGGATTTGTTCTTTCAACATTGACAGACACCATTAATATTTGAGATTGAATTTTTATTTTTCAGCAATCTATATTTATGTGTGAAGTTTTATTTTTCTCAAAATTTTGGTCCAGAGCTAAAACGTTCAGACGTGACCGTTTTAGCGTGATGCGACGCACATCAATGTGCAAATATCTCTGGAGACCAGCGCTAAAACGCTTGATTTCAACGTTTTAGCGCTGGTCCACTTATATGATTTACATGGTTATTTCATATGTTTCACACACTCTCATATTCTATTCCCTCACTCTCATTTCACACACTCTCAAATTCTTTTACCTCTCTTCTGCATCCATCCACCAATCAACCACAATGTATGTTACAATCTTCCTTCCTCATTTCGAGCATCATGGGTTGTTCTTCTCTTGTGTCCCACATTGACTTTTGATTTCACTCCTCTTTAGTTTCTGTTATTACGATTTTAGTTTCTTTTAGTTTTATTTTGCTATTAGTTTACTTTTGTAATTCAGTTAAGTACATTGGAATATTCACTGTTTTTGCATAATGCACATTGCGATAGTACTGATGCTATTGGTTTATATATGAATGTGTTTCAGTGATCAATTGCTGTTTTAGTTTACTTTTGGTTTTATTTTGCTATTAGTTTACTTTTGTAATTCAGTTAAGTACATTGGAATATTCACTGTTTTTGCATAATGCACATTGCGATAGTACTGATGCTATTGGTTTATATATGAATGTGTTTCAGTGATCAATTGCTATTTTAGATTTAAATTAGTTGCTGGGGACAACAACGTTTAAATCTGGGAATTGAGTGTGATTGAATGGCATGCAAACTTCAAGGAGATGTCACACAAATTGATGAGCCAAAACAGAGAAATATCTCAATCTTTTTCTTTTCTAAGTTTTATTGTGTGATTTGGATTTTGGATTTCAGTTGTGATATGGAATTCCATGAGGATTAGACTGATCAAAGTTTTATATGATTGATCAAATTAAGGATACAATCTTATACCTTGCATGTTGAGCTTAAATGAAATGATTGCATGACTCATTCAATGTGTAAGAGTAGAGAGATTAGTTTTGATGCATATAGAGAAAGTCAAGCATGCATCAGTGTATTTTGAAATACTTTGAAGGGGTATTTTCTAAACCCACCACATCGCCTCCTTTTCGAAGGGAAGACAACCAAATTCACTTGGAACCTAGAACTAAGGCCATCAGTGTTAGACCATATCGGTATCCACATTTCCAAAAGACAAAGATAGAGAAAATGGTGAAGGAGATACTGGCATCAGGTGTATTCTGCCCCAGTTTGAGCCCATTCTCTTCTCCAGCACTTCTGGTCAAGAAAAAAGATGTGGCCCACAACTTTTCAATTCCTACTGTTAAAGAGATGTTGGATGAATTGGCAGGAGCCACTGTCTTCTCCAAGATGGACCTCAAATCCGGTTATCACCAGATAAGGATGGCTGAACATTATATCTACAAGATCTCTTTTCGCACCCACGAGGGCCACTACGAGTTTGTAGTCATGCCCTTTAGGCTCACTAATGCCCCAGCTACCTTTCAAGGGATCATGAACTCAATCTTGAAGGTATTTTTAAGAAAGTTTGTATTTGTTTTTTTTGACGATATTCTCGTCTATAGCAGGACATTGGAGGACCAACTAGATCATCTGCGAGCAGTGTTAGAATGTTTGCAGACCAATCAGTTGTATGTGAAGCTGGAGGAGTGCTCTTTTGCACAACC